GTTCCGCACGGGCAACATCGTCCTTTACCAAGTCAAGTATACACGCGAGTGGCATCGCTTTGAGATGATACCTTTCGTTATTCTTGGTATCGTCGGTGGTCTTTACGGGGCATTCCTCATTCGTTTGAACATGAAGATTGCAACCTGGCGACGATCTCGGAATTGGGCTCGCCCGATCATTGAGGTTGCGGTCGTCGCTCTTTTGAGCGCTCTGATCAATTTCCCGAACCTGTTTATGAGGGCTCAGAATTCAGAACTTGTTCATTCTTTATTTGCAGAATGTGGGACTGGAACTGTAACTGATGATCCTTTCGGCCTTTGCAAGACGGGCGCCTCGTCAGCGGGTACTATCGCTCTCTTGCTCATGGCTGCTCTCCTGGGTTTCTTTCTTGCCTCGTTAACCTTCGGTCTGGACATACCCGCGGGTATCATCCTTCCATCTGTTGCTATCGGAGCACTGTATGGACGTGGCTTGGGAATGACCTTTCGGATGTGGCAAGAGGCTTATCCGGGATTCTTTTTGTTCGGCAAATGCGAACCAGATGTCCCGTGTGTGACCCCTGGAATATATGCAATCATCGGTGCAGCTTCGGCACTGGGAGGGGCCACGAGGATGACTGTATCAATCGTGGTCATCATGTTCGAGCTTACTGGTGCTTTGACTTATGTCATTCCCATCATGATTGCAGTCATGTTGTCCAAATGGTGCGGTGACATATTTGGAAAGCGCGGTATCTATGAGTCTTGGATTCAGCTGAACGAGTACCCTTTCCTCGATCACCGTGATGATACGACTCCACCGGACGTTCCCGCTCATAAAGTGATGACCACTGTTGATGATATGACTGTCATCACCGCTGTTGGTCATACGATCGATTCACTTCGTGGCCTCCTCCTAACGACCTCTTACCGCGGGTTTCCGGTCGTTACCGATACATCGAATCCCATCTTGCTGGGATACATTTCGCGCAATGAGCTTACGTACGCTCTCAAGTACTCTACCAAGCCGTCAGACAATGAGTTGTCAGGTGCGACGCAGGTCTTCTTCAGCCACCAACCCTTTGCGGATCCTGCTGAAACCCTGGATCTTCGACCTTGGATGGATCAAACGCCCATTACACTCAACAGCAACACCACGTTTTTGATTGTGCTCCGCATGTTCCAGAGGCTAGGTCTCCGCTATGTTCTGCTCGCCGATAAAGGTGTACTTCAGGGACTGCTGACGAAAAAAGACGTATGGTCTGTGGTCAGCGGCCCGGACGCCTACAAGGACGAAAGTCTCCGCGATAGGACGTTCAATCCGGGAACTATGGCAGAGGAAGTTGGCTTGCTTGACAGCGATGATAGGACCAGCCTTGCCAGCACTATAGAAAGACGACAGTCGCTTTGAAGTGTCTCTTGAGCGATGCATCGAAACATATACTTTTCATCTCACGCTCAATGTCGACTTGAATTACCTATTTTGCATGTCGTGATGTGTCGTGATATCTTGCTATAAGTTTTGAAATATGTATTGAAATTGGGTAACTCGGAGTTTACTAACGGGATCTTGTTTTTCTTGGTTTGTATGCCTCAGATAGTGGCTTACGGCGGGATTGTTGTGAGCATGTATCTAGACTTTGCTTCAGTAGTGTAAATAGTACCCTTTTAAAGAACCCACCCGTCCTTTACCCCAAACTATAAAATCATCCCGGAGTAAACACAAGAGAGAATTGATATGCATGAAGCAACAACGGTGATGTCAATTGGTATGCTCAAAGCAAAGCACATGACAGGACAAGCAAATGAACCCCACAATTTCTGCCCGCCTTATCGCATCCCACCGCCTTTCCAATCTCCAATCGGAATGTCCCATTCAGGCCCTCCATCCATCGGCCTGTCTCGATCAATCGCCGCGGCATGCAATCAGTACACTTCTAGTCCCCTTATAAACGATCGGATCTTCTTCCTCCCTCCACTTCCTCAATACAAACATTCGAACCACGCCCCATCCACCAAGATGATGGTCGATCCCTTCGAGGTGCGCATGCGCTTCACAGCGCAGCTGCAGCACCTGAACGCCTCGGTGACCTCATCCCAAAAAGCAGCGCATTATGCGCTCAAATACCGCGACATGGACGAGGACCTACACTCGTGCATCCTGGAGCAATTAGAAAGAGTGAGTCCTCCCACACCTTCTTTCCAATTCACCTTTCATATACGCAATTAAGCTAACATGCACTCTCTTTCTCCCCCAGAACAACATGAACAACCGCGCCAACATCATGTACTTCATCGAACAATTCTGCGACATGGCCACGAAAGAAGACCACGCGCCCTACGTTCGCATGATTCAACGCGACATCCTCCGCATCGTTGATTGCGTCGCACCCGCCGACGGCTCTGGCGCCGCGAACGTCAAACACGTCCGTCGAGTCCTGAACGGTCTACAGAGCAAGGAGATCCTCTCCGCCGAGACAATCGCGGAGATTGATGCGGGCTTGAAGGATCGGGAAACTCACCCTGCGCATCTGGATCTGGAAGCCGAAGAAGGGGGTGCTGGTGGTGATGGTGGTGGTGACGCGAGGTCCAAGCATGGGACGCCGAGAGGGTCGAAGGGCAGTGGGATGCGTGTGGATAAACGGCAGATTGAGCAGCGGATTGAAGAGGATCGAGAACGGAATAAGCGACTACGGGAGAGTATGTGGACGGTTAGTGGGGATGATGGGGATGAGCATGGGAAGTTCTGGGATGAGGCGAGTGATATTGGAGAGGATGATTTCTTGGCTGCGAATGAGGAGGTGACGGAGCGGAGGCAGATGATTGGTGCGAGGTGATGCTGGTGTTGATTGATGATGTCGTCGGGGATTATAAAAGCATGTACTTGCGATGGAATGGTGTTTTGGCGCTGTGGGTATCGCTTTGCTACGGGGTATTTGGCATGCATGGGCGTTTTAAAGAGAATTGCAATTACAGGACAATTATTTTACAGCATAGACCAAATTACTTTTTACTTGACATGACCAAATTGAAAATGAAGCTAATCATCCTGCTAAACTATATCCGACCCACTTGCAGCCGCCCGCCTTCGGAAAATCCCAGACGCCGACCAAATTTGCTGGATCTCGATCTTGAATTTTTGAACGACTTTTGAGCGCAATAACATTTCTCCATGTTTTTACATGTCACACGGGGGACTTTCTAGATCCTCTATGTTCTCTCAGTTTGTAACAGCAGCAAAGGGGTTATTTTCTCGACAGGACTCCGACGAATCTTCTCCCAAAAATCTGCGCCCTACAACTACTACCACTACTACCACCTCCTCCGGCGCCCCATCTGAAAATACATCGAAAATGGTCACGGCAACAAGACAGCGGAAATTCTCCGCTGAGAAGCAACAATCCTCGACAGAGCCCGAAGTCAATGGATCGAATGGAAAGCGCAAGTCCGAACCGGTGGGCGCTGAGCCCACTGAGACCCAGAGCAAGAACAAGCGGCGGAAGAGAAGCAGTCTAGAGGCGACGACACAGGAATCACAGACCAAGCCTTCGAGTAACAAGAAGTCGAAGAAAATGACGGAGTCGACTGGGGAGCCTGAGCAGCAGCAAGAGGAGGAAAAGAAACCTTCAGCAGCGCCGGCGCCGAAGAAGCACTTCCGCTTTGATAGCGAAGAGCCGGAACTTCCGGAGGTTGCGGCTATTGAGGAAACTACGGAGGCACAACAGGATGAAGATGATGACAGCAGTGATGATGACGAGGCCCCAGAGACGGTCGATAACTCTGCACAGCTGTCGAAGATGAGGATGGAAGCTAAGAAGCAGGAACGGGCTAGGCAAATGTGAGTGATGCGCGCATTCCTTATTTTTGGCAATATATTTGGGTATATTCTGACATTCTTTACAGAGAGGAGCAATTGAAGAGGGACAAACGGAAACAATTGGATGAGCTGCGCAAATCCCAGGCGAAGTTGGCGAAGAAGAAGGAGGCTAAGGCCGAGGACCTGTTGTCAGAAAGCACAGAAACTCTTCAAGGAACTACCACGCAAGATGCGCGACGATCGGCCCTCCCCGCTCTTCTTCCCGATGATATTCTTAACGCAGCCCCTGATGTCCGGCCCCCGACACCCCCCGCGGAAGAGAGGTCTATCATGCAGAAGAAGCCCAACAAGCTACGATTCCTGGATAAGAAGGAGAAAGCGCCGAAGGATGCGCGAGTTGGAGATGTTACTATCCGGGTGTTGGATGACGGTGTATCCAAGAATCCATCAAAGACGGTCCTGCCGCCCAAGGCCTCCAAAACCGGGCGCAATGCCAAGCAGAATTGGCTGAACAAATCCCGCAACACAGGCGCTTTGAATGGGTTGAGAAGGACGACTGGCGGTTCCTCGGGATTCGTGCGCAAATAGCAGGTCTTGGGCGCTCTTTTACGCTTTCCCGTCTCGAGAATCAAACAAAATATTTAATAGAGCAATTTTGTGGATCCAACAATGGGCGTAGTGTTACGGTGTGCATAACATAGCAACTATTTACTCTTTAGGGTTAGATAAGTTCGAAGGGTTGTTACTGAGCTTTGTAGCGGAGCACTTGCGATACTGCCAATGGGTACCACTGAAACTTTTACCATAATAGGATATCAGACGACAGTTGTAATACAAAGACATCCCTGATATAAAGAACAAGTACTACGGCAGTTGTATGCATATTTGACCGGGAGTCGTACAACCGGGTAGAAAGTTGGGGAAGTGTACGATCTACACGCTGCAGATCATTGCTTTCTTTTTCTCGAAGCAGCACCAAACCAGGCCGTCGGGGTTATTCAAACGAGGGTCTCATAAATACAGACAAATCTCAATTTTACCAGTAGGGAAAGGAAAGAAAAAAGAAGAGAGAAACATAAAGAGGAGGGGCACCGGATTGGGCAGATTGGCAGCCTCTGGCGGGCGCACGTGCAGAGCTTGGAGCTCCATTTGATCGGTTCGACTTTCTTCTCTCCATCAACTTCTCTCTCTCCCTCTCCCTCTTCCTCCCTCCTGTTCAATTTTATCTGTCCACCTTCTACCAAAGATTCCCTACCCTGCGATTCGCCATTCATTTGCAGATTATGCTCTGAGCAGTGTCTCATCCCCCCCACCCCCTATCCCACCATGGTTACTACAGAATCCTCTCCGCTCCTCCCCCAGCATCACCTCCCGACTTCCTCCAATACGTCACCGCGAGGAAACCGTCCGCCGCGGACAGTCACCTTCAACCCATTGGCAACTGTTAGCACCTACCATGACTCTACCTCCGCAGATCCCACCTTTAGACCTCTCCAATCCGGCTCGTCATCTGCACCGCATTCTCAGGAGAGCCATTACCGACCGACCGGCCTCTCCGCCCTGAATAGCAAGCTCCGCCGGCGGAACAGCCATGGCGCTCCGTTCAGCACCACAAACACCCCAATCGCTGCAGCCCCCAAAGTCGGACCGCAAAGAACGACGAAAAATGCGCAGAAGCTGAAATTGCTTCCCGATCCAGTGACTGAGGCTGAGGAGGAACTCGGTGGTGATGACTTTCCGTCCGATGTCTATTCGCAGATTGCCCGAATCAAAGAACCGACAGCGAGGAGTCATGCTGCAAAGTTAGGAAAGGCCGACAGAGAGCGTTTGCCGCGAGTGACTGCATACTGCACGGCCAATTCGTATCGACTAGAAGGGATAATCAAGTTTCTCAAGTCTCGCTCCAAGACCCGCGGTGCCAACCCAAAACTCTACGACGAATGTGTCTACTCGCCATATGACTACGGCTATGAGGAGAAGCAAAATGGCACATGGGGTCTGTCGAATAATGGAATAAACATGGGGGATGGCCACCCTAATCAACGGCCGTCCAATGAGCGCCGCTACTCGGACAGTGTGGTTGAGGTCCAGGATAACACAAACTCTCGGCGGGAAGATCTCATAGACCTACAGGACTCTCAATCCCACGCCACCGATATGGACCATGCTTCGACTACTGCTGTCTCGGACCACCAAGGAGATGTACATCCCGACTTTGACACGACGATCCATACCCCTGAAGTGTTCCTGTTCGATTACGGCACCGTCGTAATATGGGGCATGTCACCTGCCCACGAGTCACGATTCTTATCCGATGTTTCCAAGTTTGCTGCTTCCATCCTCAGTCCCGAAGATACCCAGGTCGAGAACTTCAATTTCTACTATGCTCGCGAATATCAAGCCCGGATATACAACGACTTCATCTCTCTGCGCGACCCGCGTAACCACATGATCAAACTGGCCATCTCCCACGCATTGGCACAATCTGTCAAGACCTCCCTATTTGAAGACCTCGTCTCTGAGACCATCTCCAACACCGCACCCCTACCCGCCCAGATTGCCCAGACAGGCAGTGTCAATCTCACCCGGCGCCAGATCAACATGCAAATCGGCGAATTGTTCATCCTACGAATCAATATCCACCTGCAAGGCTCGGTTCTAGACTCTCCAGAACTCATGTGGGCTGAGCCCCAGCTAGAACCGGTTTACCAGGCCGTCCGCAGTTACCTTGAAATGGACCAGCGTGTAAGCCTGCTCACTGAGCGGTTGGACGTGATAGCGGATCTTCTTGCCGTCCTCAAAGATCAATTAACTCACCGCCACGGTGAGTATCTTGAATGGATCGGTAAGCACCTTCTCACCCCCTGCATCAACCTGTTCTAATCGACTAACACACGTCACAGTAATTGTTCTCATTGCGGCAGAAATTCTAGTCGCAGCCATCAACATCGTAGTTGACTTGTACGCTGGCGTGGAGTGAACACTACCTACACTTTCTACTAACAATTACTACTACTTTTGCCTTGTTTACATCACCCAATAACACCCTTTGCTATACATCTACAGCCCCATCATCACTGCATCACACCACACCACACTGAGTGTCCTCTTTCACTATTCGTTCACTTCAGCGGAGTTAAGGGGTTCGGGCATACATCTGTCATTTAAAGTGGGAACAGGAGTGAAAGTGGGAATTACCAAAGCAAAGCCCTCCTTGCATCGCTACGGACAATACATATCTATCTATATTTAGTATCTATTATCGATTCCTCTACAAATAACTTATCTTAAGCTGTATATTACACCCATTGATTGCTCCACAGTCGATTCGAATCTACCATGAACTTATTTAAGCTGATGTCAATCTGATCATTATGCAGCTCTGTCACTCTGGAGGATTGACCAGTCGGTATCTCGTCCTGAAAAAAGGGCTTTTCGTACATGAACCATCATCTGTCTGGCCTTGTATCATGTGATATGATCCATGCACATATACTAGTAGCTACCAGCTACACAGAGCAACGGATGACTATTCTATAATGAAGAAGGCAGGTGTCTCCCCACTTCCCCTCCTACACATACACACAACAAGAAATAATAACGCTTTTTGCCCATCGTATACTATAGAACACATAAGAAGAGTAAAGAGGGAGGATAGAAGAGGGGCCAGGAAAAGGCCCCAAACCCCCAAGACGAAATGAAATATAACCCGACGGTTGAAATAACACCCATTACCAGAATAACACAAGAAAAAAAATAGACCACCACGAAAGGAAACGAAAACAGTCCATATAAAAGTAGAAATAAAGTAAAAAAGAAAAGAAAAGTCTAGGGTATGGTTATGGTATAAGTTGATAATCACCCCTCCCTCTCCTTAGCTTCCTCCTCCTCCTCTTCCTTGGCATCCATATCCATCGGCGTCGTCTCATCCTCCACACCACCATCACCCCTCTGCTCCGCAGATTCAGGGTTATGGCTCCCGCGATCACTAGTAGCACCCTCCTTATCATTCGCGGACCCATTACTACCGGGTTGAACGCGGAATGACGAAGTCATATCATCCTGCGACGGGGCGGGAGCTAGTCGCGGCAACGAGGACGACGAATCTCCATTACCGTTATCACCATCAGCAGCTGCGGCGCCAAATTCCGTCGCATCCTTATCCTTGGCGTCTTTCTCCTTCACTTTATCTTTGCTGTTGCTTTCATTGTTGTTCTCATTGTTCGCCGCCTCATCCTCTAGATTGGCATCATTGGGCAAGTTGGATTTCCTGGATCGCTTCACGCGCAGAGGCCTTTCCTGGGGCTGTACATAATCACATCCATTACCATTAGCGAACCTTCAACCCTATACCAAAGAGGTAGAGGAAGGTAGAACTTACAGTAGGCGGTTGCTCATCGGAACTCCCCTCCGTCTCGTCCTCCAGGAACTGCGGCGCACCGGCAGCACCATTCTTCCCTGTCTCTCCACCCGTCACGGCCGCGACATTCGTCATCATGGCTGATGCCCGGGCGCGCAGTTCCGGGTTCACGCCGGCCTGCGCTTCCTCCGTCATGCCGGTGACCTTGGCCAGTCGTTCCAGGAGAATGCATGACTCGAGGCGCATCTTCTGGATGTATTGCCAGCCACGACGGTTGCGGAGACGCATCAATTCATTTTCTTCTTCGATCTCGTTGAGGCGCTTCTTTAAGGCCAGGCATTTGCGTTTGTAGGCGTTTTCGACGCTGGGGGGGTTGGAGGTTGTCGAGGGTTGGCGGGCTTCTTCCATTGTGGTGATGGGTGGTGTGGTGTTGTTATTGAGAAGTAGAGGGTAGGCTTGAGTGGCGCGATTGATGTGTTGTTGTGGTGTTGGTTGATGGTCAAGGGATGTCGGAGGAGCGAAGTGGTTGGGGAGGAATTTAGGATGTTCGGAGTTGCGCGATTAGGGGGTAGTTATAGTGAGGCGGCGCGAGTGACTCCGAACAGGTAGAAAGATTACCCAGGGTAATTGATGAATGAGAAGGGAATCCCCGAGGTGAATTGGATGGCAGCGAGGCGGATCTGAGAGGAATGGATGGGACGAGAATCAGGTCGGAGCTGAAGCCGAAGCAGAAGCAGAGCCAGTCACGTTCTGCCGGTCGGGGAGGCGGGCGGTCAGCGGAGTCTGGGGTATAACACTACACTACTATACTAGTATTTAAAGGCGCAACACACTAAAGCTTCATTATCGTCATTACATTGCACTAACTCCTAAAAGCTACTGTCCATGAGAAAAAAGACGGATCTATCCGTGCAAAGAAGTAAACATAGCGCTAATGTCCACCAGTAGTCGGCAACCCAAGGAACACCTTGAATGAGTCGTAACTATATATTCGCGTCAGCATCCAGCCCTCAATCTTATCACAGCATCATCATCATCACTTACATCAACCATTGGAATCCAGTCAATGTACCCAGCATGACAATTCTCACAGGCAGTCCATTCCACAAGCCCGAGAACCCAATATTGCTATAGATCCTCGACACAGCAGTCATAGCTCCCTCGCCAGCTAAACATCATCAGTCATAACCCTAAACGCCATAAATCGATAATAATGAAAACCAGGATAACTCACCTTTCCGATCCGCATTCAACTTACTCACCATAACATCCGCCGGGTGGCTGACAATGGCACAGAAGATACCCGCAATATAACCTCCCAGAAAGCTGACTCCCGTCTGCTGCAACCCATTGAACTGCTCCTTAGGCTTGCCCAGCGTCTTATAGATAAACTTGACCGTCTCCTCAAATGTCGCAAACTTCGTCATGGTATAGGGGATCTGTCTCGCCCACAACGGATACAATCCTTTATACAAGCCCGACATGCCCTCCTGCGCCACGATTTTGCTCCATCCCTCGCGCAGTGTATGCGCAAACGGCGGCAGCGTCGTCTGCATGCGCACCTTGATGGCCTCCATCGGACAGAGGGCCATATCAGCGAAGAACTCGGCCGAGGCACTGGCGCCTAGGAAGACGACGGTACGGTTCGCATTCGGGAAGAGCTGGTCTCCATAGAGGTATTTGAAGTATTCGTAGAAGCCGTATTTACCGGCGCCTTGGAAGGAGTAGCCAACGAAGGTGGGGGTCCAGCCGAAGAAGATGCCACGGAGGCCTTCCTTGGAAATGATGGTGCGCCAGGCGGAGAGGTTGGAGGTGTAGATCTTGGGGTCGACTTGACGGCGGCATTTTACAAGGTCGAGGGGGGTAACGGCTGTGTGAGTTGGGCCTGTGGGGAGAGATTGGAATTAGGAATGGTGATGTGGTTGGTGATAGGATGGTTATACGTACCGCAGGCTGTTCGAGGTGGTTAGTATAGAAGCTCTGTGATGCAAAAGAGGGCTAGATGGTAGCCTACTCACCGATGATTCCTCCGAGTGTGCAACTGGCAAAATACTTGGCCGAGTTAGGTTCAATCTTACCCAAGGGGTACTTGGGCTTTTGTGTCGCCATTGCGAGAGCTTATCTAGGAGGGGAGCAATGGAAGCTTATCGATTAAAAGGACAAGAGTGGAGAGGGGAGAAGATGGGGATAAATCTACCGAGCAAGGTACGTGAACAATCTGGTATAGGAAAATTCAATGGATGAAAACGTGTACTACTATCCACACTACTTATATTTACTTTGTACCGTGTCAGCCCGCAGGCCATGTCGTCAGAGTCTCCAGTTAGGGAGGACAAACAAGTCGCGGTCCAGATCCATTCGCCAGTCCAACGGCTAATCGGCACCCGCGCAATGAACTCTCCCTGCACCGGATACGTTCCGATTTGCCGTTTTTGGAATGGATACTTCTTTGTGAGAACCTGAGATCTACATAAGCAGTGAATTAATCACTTGGTGGTTGTTCTTTTATTCATAAGTAATAGTTGGGTTGTGAGATGGTGCAGATCGATGACGTCAGTGCATCCGGGGTGGCCGGAAGGAGTAGGGCAAGAATGTTATGGATCTCTATCTATCTTCTATAGACATAACTATAGATCATGTAGCAATATTACCATTTGGTCGAACAAGACAAGGTGATCTAGAATACGATAAATTCATGGGTTATTGGGATTAATAAAGTACGTCCTAACCACTGCTCTGCTGAGTCGAACTTATCATCCTGCTGCAACGCCTGTGCATGGCAAAAACAAGCTAGCTACACCAACAGCGGCTTCGAGTTGAATGTAGCCTTTAAAGGCAGCTCTGCACTATCAGGTGTCGGCATCCCAATTCTCGTGGTTTGCTGGGAGGATTAGAAATACCACTACTAGTCAGAGAGGACGCTCCTCCAGCGTCTTAGACAAGCTGGGGCCCAGATTCCCATCCCTTGTCTTGGGTCCAGATGTATGTTCCCATGGTATCTTCTTGATCGATCATAAAATAAGCCAATATGATGGTTTCAGGACTGTTATGGCGATCTTCTTGAATCGTCGCAGACAGCGAGGAGAGTCCATCGCGGGCTGTCGTGATAGGAGTGCCGACGATGTGCGTTCGAGGTTCGTTGTATTGAAATTCCTTCACATATCCATCGGAGAGTCCGAACAGGCGAGGTTCACCAAACCAACGACTGACAGCACACAGTTCGGTGACTCCCGCAAAGTCGCCCGGCTGTCCCAATGGCCTTTCTACAAGGATTCAGTTAACTTGAGTCCATTGGGTGACATTCAAGGTCTCTAGTGAAGTTGCAGAGAGAACCGAAGGACATACTTGTATATTCGTCTCCATCATATGCCTTATGATAAGACCAACCGTTTCCGGTTTCGGCTTCGATAAAGTAGACATCGATGCCTTCCGTGTTTATGCACGAGGCAGTCTTGCCCGGATCCACTTCGTCGATGAGCTTGATCTCCCAGTCGGAGTCATTAGACTTTCTATGAAGCTCATATAAGTTCTGCTCTGTAAAAAAAACTATGTAAATATCAGCAAATGGCAATGAAACGGCAGAGAGCGACAGGTCACAGCAAAATACATACTTCGGGACACAGAATGCCCATTGCCAGTCAATGTATTCAAGGGCAATATCACTATTATGGTTTGCAGTGGTGCAAGGAGTGATATAAGAGACATAGGGCCCGCTTAAATATGGGTTACAGATTGCTTTCTGGACTTCATCCGTATAGGGTCGTGTTTCCCACTGAGCATCTTCGGTGACACCGATTCTTAATTCGGTCGACTCGGTAAAACACACAATCTTAGCATAGTCAGGTCATCATCCAAACAGTAATTCCACCCCTCAATAATTCAAGGGCTATCTTCGAGATTCTGACCAACTTTGCATGCTTTTCGCTTCCAGGGTCATGGAACCAACCACAGATTCGTGACACAGGAATGACGTCTAGTCGGTACTCGTCTCTAGTACTAAGCACCCATTCATCCTTGACAAGTCGGTACAGCTTTACTGTCCATGCAGAATAATCATCTTCCGAGTAGACAATAAGTGCAAAAACCTCCTTGTCGGGCGTAGTGGTAATACTAAATGTACGTTTCCAAACCATATTATGGGACGAAACTAAGGCTGACACGCTCCGTTTTATGAAGCTGAGATGGGACTGGGATAGTAGCTTGTTGGCTTGTAAGAGATCAAGAGCGGAGTGTCTTACAGTACTCAGATTTCTGGGTGGTAAAGATCTACTATATATAGTCTTCATTAATAGGCAGGCGATACCATGATGGAGTATTGTACTCCTTACTGCGGACCAGTCATGGCAACCCTGCATGGAGTAGTTTCACCTCTCTCCGCGCACCCAGCCCTATCAACTTGTCCTCACCTCACGCAATGCTACTAGAAAAATGCAAGGCCGCCTCTGTGATCAACATGCCTGGCTAGCTGAGGAGGTCGGGCTGATTCGTCCTCGGAGCTGCATATGCACGGAGCCAACCCGCAGATTCCTCTGCAAAAAGGTTGAATATTACCCACAGAAGACAGTAATGAGCAGAAGGCCTCAGCTACTAGTGTAGACGTTGCACAGCATGTTGCAGGATCATCTGATCTCCGCATACAAAGGCGTATGCAGATAGAATGACGGCAGCCAGCCCAAAATTACGGCCTCAGTAGATCATTCTATTCGCAATTTAGCAAGTAAATCTACTAGAGTTCCGTAGTAGTGTCTATATTTTCTGGGGTACTATACTCCATGACATACAAGATATAGCTTGACGAATTAATAGCAGCGACAACATTGCAGATGCATAGTAGTGGGCTCAAAAGCAATCTATCACTGATGCTCAGTGGCTGCCTGACTCCCAGGCGCTCCTACTACATGTTCTTTACACCACATAGATGAGAAACACTGGAATATATGCCTCATGCACTTTATCGCTGAGCACTTACTCGATGGGTCGATAATTCGGTACCTCTGCCTAGCAGTGCAGAGAAGATCAGGTAGAATCGTGAACTCAGTTGCATACTATGTGATCATCTGCCTGTTGAAAGGTGTCCTGGTCTCTTCATGTTTGTTTTTGTTGGACTGGAAGACGTTGCAGACTTTACATCATACGTCAAGGCAAATATGAGATTGATTATAGTAGTGTAGTACAGATGGACATGATGGCTATATATGGACTACATAATGGATGAGTTATGAACTGGAAATGAAATGCAGCCGGAACAAATGTAGAAGCAGTGCTGCCCCCGCACAATGACTAGAGCCCTCTATCCAAGGAAATCGGTCTTGTTGCTTTTCTCCTCCAGCTGGTGGCTGGCTGGAACAGTGCATGCGAGGTTGCATGCAATGCACGCCTGGCGCTAAAGACTGGGGTGTCATGGGTTTCTCTGCAGAAGCATCAAGGGCTATCAAAGAGAAATCACGGAGCACATTGCTTAGTTTGTCGGGAGACGGGCTCTCCCTGTCGGGATACACGTAGGTTACAGAGATCGGCCGGTGGCCTGAGACGATCCTAAGCCAAGTTCAAATTATTGCGATTGTTCCTCCCAAGAAGTAGTAGTTGAGTGATTACTAGTAGCAATTATATACATATTAATTTACAGGTATACTTGAAAAGCCCCATGTAGCCCCGAGGGATACATTTTATGTGCATGAGCCCAGCCTGCCCTTTTTATATGACGGAAACCTCCCTCACCGGCCGTTCCAAAGAATACAATTGAGGCATGCTCGACATAGCATCCCGCCCATCATAGGTCGCCAACATAGTAGCCAGCTTGATGCCAGCTTCCGAGCCCGTCCGCGCCATCACGCCTCGGATCATCTGCGTCTGTTCAGGTGTAGCCAGCCCACACGACAGAATATACCACAGAGGCCACAGCATAGTATAGAGGTAGAAAGCTCGGACCCGAGACATTCCCTGCTCAGACGGTGGCATCGGGTTTCCAAGCATATCAATCTCCCCAAAGCAGAATGGTACACTCCGACAAGAATCGGAGACCATCTCGAGGCTTATTCGTAGGCCATCTGCCTCATGCTGAGACGCTTCATGCTGAATACCGGGGGAATCAAGCAGAGAGACTAGTGCTCGGAAAAGATCTGCCATCACGCTATGGATGAAGATCCGGAGGACACGGTAATGGGCCCAGATAACCGCAGCAATCATCTCTCGGTACGTGAGTACATCCTCGCCCGTGTGTGTTCGGGTCTCGAGGGGTAGCCAGATGTCCGATAAGGTTTGGGTCCATTGGAACAGTTCTGAATCCAAGCGTCTGCAGGAGTCGATCCATGACGCTAGCTTCGTGATCCCCGCAGATTGCAAGGAATCTGAAGCAGATGTTGGCTCTGAAATCAGCTGTCTGACCTTGGACGCAATTATCATAAGGGATTGTAGCGGATCTGCGCTGTCGAGACGCTCAACTAGTCGGTCCGAGTCCAGACTGGGTTTCCCCTTCAGCAGAAGGAACTCGATTTGCTGGATTATGCGTTAGCATTAACACATCCACTTTTAAACAGAGGCATCCGAATTGACTCACCATGCGAACATACGCATACTTGAACATATCCAGTCCCGCCGCATGTCCCAGCTGACTCTCCCCCCTCAATCTTGTGAGCGCCTCAAAGCCCACCGTATGCGCACTAGTAAGCCCATGGCGATCTCCCGAGATATCCTCAAACAAAGATAGAATGACCAAGGTCGCAAACGTCTCATCCTTCGCCGCCTCAGCCGGCAAATCCAACGCCTCCTGCAAACGTCGCAGCGCCAACCCAAAGCGATATCTCGCCTGGGTCACAACCCCGGGCACATTAACCCTATTACTGAGGGCCATCAGGGCCGTTGCATCGACAGCTAATCGTAAAGACAAGGATGCGGGGTTACCCAGATTCTGATCTCGACAATCTGCATACAGCGACGGAAGGAACCCCAGATGTCCCATGCCGCCAACTGCGTTACACTCCACGATGGTAAACTGATCAAAGAAATAGCAAATTGCTCTTTCTTCCCATGTGGAATCACTGATTTGATAAGCGGGCAATGTCGCCACTTGTAGATCCTTGCCGCCACTCGATACATCATGGTTGCTGGGCTGCTGTTTACGTGATGAGGAAGAGCAGGGATTGGCCTTGCCATTCATCAGTTGCTGCACTTTGTGCGTTTCATTCCGGAAGATCCCATCAGATCGGTAGCCCGGACATGGCTTGCCGTATATGCCGCAGTTCCGGCACCCCGGACGGCCTTCATCGCACTGGGAGGCAGCTTAGCGTGGGGTCATACAAATGAACAACATACGCATTGGGGTAAAATGCTATGCAAGGGGCATGATGTGCCATGACATATCAAGGCTGCAGATCTGTCCTACCTTGATTTTCCGTTTGCGACACAAATGGCACCCCGTACTTGGCTTCCCGCCGTACACCATCTTCGTCTACTTAATAGGGGCCCAGCTGCGGGATAGATTATGCAGTGGAAGCGACATAGATGAGGACAAATTTTTAAGTGCTTCGTGAAGCGAATATATCAAATGCTTGATGGCGTCGTCGCAGCTGGTGCCTTGAAGGATCGACACAAAGAACCGTTGAATACGGGGTCTTGCCATTTAGAGGGGCGAGTCAGGTGATTTCCATTATCAACGAGAAACAACCCTGACTACAAATACCTCCCCACAGCATTACGGCACTTCATCAACCACATTCGTTTATTTAATGCATACGCAGTTGTCTATCTGGTCTCTATTCCGCTCATCTCGGAGCCCTTTCGGGATACTTCTAAGAACTGACTATCTGAACACAAATGAAAGAAAAACCCCACCAAGGGAGACAAGGCACGCTGGGGTGTAGTCGTGGTGAAAGGTAAGCTCAATGTCTTCGCTTTGTAGGACCAACAGTAGAAACACCAAATCGTCTGTAAATGGTAAATACATCATCTCCCGAGGCGGGTATCATCTAACCCTCGAAAAAGAAAAAGTAGAGGTAAACATATCATGAGCCAATCACGGTTCCCCTGAGACTCCTGCAGGTACAACGCATCAAGTAGCCCACCCTTTGCCATTTTGTAACTCCACTGCACGTTTCCCATGAAAACTTCGAGAATAAGACCGGAAAATTGAAAGAAAAGAGATCCGTTTAGACCAAACACCCAGAATGCGAATGCTGATATTCGATGACCTGGCAACGCTGACCGCGCCTCGTTTGCCTAGCGACACTCAGGTTGGACCAGCCGGGTCGTTGAAATCAGGCGCTAAAACAATAGGTATATAGACGGTAACGCTTGGATTCGTAAAGCAAGAAAGAAGGACGTGCTAGTCATTGCGAAGGTGGAATCCCCAGTCAGGAGGCGGGGGCATCCACCATGGCCTGGTCATCGTCACTATTGAGCGGCACACTAGGCGGAGGGTCCGAATAGCGCTCCCTATGTCGGCTGTCGTTACTCGTGGGGTGCAGACCCGGCGTGCTGGAAGCACTCTCCACTATCACCGCATCGTCGCCATCTTCTTCGGGCGGTGGTGAGAAAGTCCAGACCTACAACAAATTCATTCTGGTTAGTCTGTGATAAAATGTAGGAGACAACGGAGTAATAAGCGAATGTTCCTTACCTCCATCACTGTGCGGCCTGCTCTACTAGCCATGATCACAGCTTTCTCTTCCTCAAAGGCAACTCGCCAAACAGCCTCTGCCGGTGTCGACAGTTCTCTGAGTAGTTGACCGGTCTGCAAACTCCACACCTTGACACGACCGTCACTACCACCACTGACAATTCTGGAACTGTCGAACTGCAAGCTGGTAACGCTGTTGTCATGAGCCGCAAGTCGGTGGATGGGAGCCATCTTGGTCAACGACCAGACCCGGACAGACCCATCAGAACCACCGGTGACCAAGGTATCTCCCCGCATTTGTAGCTGTCCTACTAGGGAGGTATGGCCCTGGAGGATAGCATGGCACTGGCCCGAATGCGGATCCCAGATCCGCACGCTGGTATCCAAACTGCCGGTGGCGATGCGTCTGCCATCAAACGCGATAGCATAGATCTGGCTGAAGTGGCCCGAGAGCGTCCGTAAGCACCGTCCCTCAGAAATGCTCCAGATGCGTGCCGTAGTATCATAGCTTCCCGAAACTACAAGATCTCCATGAATGGCCAGGCAGCGGACACTAGCTTGGTGCCCAACCAGAACGTTCTTGCAGGTACCCGAGGCCAGATCCCATATCCGCAGCGTTGTATCCCGTGATCCCGAGATCGCCGTGTTCTTGTCGGACATTTTGAGGCAACGCACGGTTGACGTATGGCCACGTAAGAGGTAGAGACAGGCACTGTAATTTGATTTGTTCGTCAGTAGTGACCTCCGACTGCAGGCCGTCATAGTTTGCTTACCCGGTCGCCATGTTCCAGACCCTCACTTCTCGGTCGCACCCACCACTCACAAGAATGTCATCCCAGGGAACCATCGCCCATACGCCCATCACATGGCCTTGAAGAGTTCTTTGGTTATCCCCGTTGGTATCGTATACATGAATCTTGGCATTGTCTAGCGCGACCACGATATACTTGGGGGTTAAATGCAGGCTTGTGACCACTCCCTGGTCGGGTGTAATGTGTCGCTGGGTGCAGCGCCCACCCTTGTTCCAGGCAGATTCCACCATGTACTTTTGCTTGAAATGCGATCTGTAGGACAATGGTCGGACCCGTCTCTTGCGTGACGGGTACCCCGATAGGGAGAGCCAGTCTCCCGACAAAGAGCGCGACGAAACGTCGGGCAAACCCTCTCGAGGCTGGAGAGTAGACACATGGGGCCTCCTTTGCAACCCGCTCAAGGACTGAGTACTGGACACAGCATGCAAAGGCTGACCATGGAAAGGGTCGACGAATTCCCGATCATCCTCCGACAGCCTCCGGGATGCATACGAGTGCTTTTCGCATAGGTTTTTCCACGTGATATCATCATTCAGCAGTTCCCGCCAGCGCTTCGAAACTTGGGATGATCTTGCCAATGTTTTCGGGTCATCAATGAATGATAGGACCTAGTGAAGCCAAGCGAGACAGCTGTCAGCCTTGTTCGAGCGGTGAGGACATCCGCACCGGAAGAGGTAACCAACTCACCCTCAGACATAGTTCATTTGGGAACACCTGAAACGGATCTTTTCTCAACCGGGGGCTAACATAGCTAGAAACAAAGCTGAGATGCTGGCTATCGCACAGCCCCAATATGCCTTCCAAAAACTTTTGCTTCCGAGCGTTGGAGAGAGAAGAGAAATGTATCCGAGCGTTCAACAAAAAAGCATCGTCTTCCTCGTCGGGTGTCTGCCAGGTGGGAGGTCTTTGATGAGGAGTTGGACTGGGAGCAGGCGTGGGAGGTGACGCAGGCGCTGAGGGAAGCAAGTTGGGGGGAATGGGAGTACCGGTCTTAGTGGACGAAGAGAGCGATCTAGAATGAGCACTAGAAAGTGAGGCGACCGAATCTCTGGCTGCAGATGACTTTGATGGCGCAGTCGCCAGCTGCTCAGGTACGCTGCGCGGACTCATCCCGGTATCTACTGGATGGTTGAGTGGTCGTGGACTGCCGCGGTGAGGAGCGGTTGTGTCATCCAGGGGATTGCGTATTCCACCCGACTAGCCTTTCACACGGTGAGAGAGATATCCCTACGCAAACCCCTTGCGACCCTTTCTCGTTCATAAACGGAGAAGGCGTAACACACAAAACGAGAGAATGACGTTGCTTTGATCCAAAAGAGAAAACGAAGGCGGAGGGGAAGAGTGAGAGATAAGACGGATGTGGACGATCTCCGCCGGGGCAGGGAAGACGAAAGGTTGGCGGGTAGACAAGGGAATAGGGGGGTGGGAAGGGAAGAAGAGAATGGGAGTGTGGGTGGTCGGGTTAGAAGTTTTATAGATACCAAAAATGGCTGAAGAAGGAAAAGAGGGAAGAAGAAGAAACGGCAAAAAAAGTTAGAGAGTAAGTTGGAGGTGAAGGTCACACTGGATGGGGGGGAAGTTTGGAAGGAGACCGATGGGGGGGAAGAGAAAGATGAGAGGATAGACGACGGATTGGTAGGTCCCGTACAGAGTACTGGTAAGTAACTATGTACTTCGGTACAGCGGACGGAGGAGGGCGGTAAGATCAGAACTAATCAGGACTGAGTGCGGCCTTCCCGACGCCATCCAGAAGCAGGCGGAGAAGAAGCGACGAAGGAAAGACAAAGTCTGGATCATGCGATGTCGTGACGGGTCAGGTGCAGCCTTCCTCTTCTTCTTCCCCCGGAAACCCTCCAAACCAGCCCAGATTACCCGCCAAGCAAAGCCGATGGCGCTTCTTCTCTGTCCCTGATTCGTGCAGCAGTATCGCTGGAAATCCACCCATAACTCCCCGTTGGTACTAACTTAACCCAGATTAGTCAGCTCCCAGAATAAAGTACCTTAGTAAAGTTGCGATGAACTAGTCCTGACTACTAAGTAGTAGTGCTACTGGCGCCAGGGCGCTGCTCGCGGTCGGTACCGACTATCCTGACGGCGGCAATGGTATGGAGATCTGGGATACAACGAGCACCAACTGTTGGTTAAGTAGATGATAGTTGGTTATAGAATAACCTCCGCTACGTCCCCAGTGGAGACAAGGCGTCATTGCTCGAAGTCCGTCTCCACGACCAAATATTGCCCCATCCGAACTCTCGAGCCGCTCTGGTCCTGTCTACGTCTATCGACTGTAGCTCTTACACCCCTCCCACGCCATACTCTCCCCTAGAATGGATAGGTGGATGATGGCCGGAGAGACGAGCTCAGCTGAGCAGCCAGCAAATAGGACCAAAGTGCCTGTTCCACACTATATATTCTCTGATACCTACAAGGATCATTACCATTGTCGTCACAAACTGCTTACTAGACGACGTGAAATTGACGTGGAGACTCACCCATCCCGGCTAGGGGAAACTAGTACGTAGTCTACCACAGAGAGACAGTTTCCAAAGCAAGGCACCCGAGCATAATGTCTGGTGCTTCGGTCTAACTTTTCGGTTCCACTGCAACTCGTTGGAGATATACTGGTCTCAAGGCGGGAGTGAAAGAACGGCATGCGTCGTACAACCATGGGTCCACGCAGGAGCCTCCAGGAAAAATTACTAATGATTCATTCAGTCTTGTCGAATAGTTTCATCACTGCCCCAATGTGGGGAAGAGGTAATTCTCCGACTTCTCGGCGCACCGTTATACCAACCACATCTAAGTCAAGTCTACGTCAAAGTGATCGCGAGGAAGGAAAGAATGGAAACAAATCAAAACAAAAAGAAAAGAACATATGCAATTATGATCAAAGTATTGGTTTCAACCGCACCGTGCAAATGCTTCAAAATCGTGGCCATGACGTGTGGCGGCGCTGACTCAAGGACAATACAACAAGAAAGGCATAACCCCGCAGGGAATATAACACAAATCGCCGCGGTCCCCCAAGACTGGGAATCCGCCCAGTAACAACTGTCAAGATCTATTACACAAGACAACCTCCATGGTGTCTAGAAACATGAATCGTCCGTATTCTATGAAACGGCGTGTAGCTCACTGACCCAGGAGAGCTAAAGGTAAGAGAAGGAGAAAGAGACATGGTGTGAATCCAGAAAAGGATTTTGATAGTATCTAGTGGGCATGGCCAATCTGCAGGAACAGTGGAAGAACCATGCCAACAACAGAAGCGATCAAGTCCCTCATAGACTTGTCCGATGCTGACGGTGCCTCTCTATGGTCGCCGTATCCGTTGACCTGAGACTCACGTGACGATGAGTTCGGGCTGTTTTCCTGCATCGTGTGCATAGCAACGTATCTAGAAACATCAGTATCACCATGTACCGTAGAAGTTAGATCTACATGAACTTACAGGAATGTGCCAGCAGAGAACAAGAGAAGGACTCCGGTTCGCCAGCGGTTCCCGACGTCATCACCTCCTGACCCCGAGCCCATTATCTGCACAAACAAGAATGTCATGAGAGCACCCACAGGAGCAGCCAGACTGAAAATCAATAGATGCGCTCTAGCGGTACGACTAGAAAGGCCCTGCTTCAGTAGCACTGAGGTGAGGCCAAACGATGCGGGGGCCTTGTGAACCATGATGGCCAGGAAGATGATGAAGCTCAACCCAGTGTCGGAGCTAGATGCACCCAAGGCAATTCCATCGGCGGCAGCATGAATGACAAGTCCAGTTGTCGTTGCAAAGCTGTGGCTTCTCCTGGGGATATTACCGGCATCAAGCAAGCCCCCCTCGCGTGACGGCGACGAATTACGCCGCAGGCCGGAACCCAAATTATCCAGAGAAATGTGATAAGGAATTCGCTCCTGTTTGGAGGATGACGCGAAAACAGGCAGTTTGTCGATGAGGTACATCAGTATAAAGCCACTAATGAGTGCAATTCCTATCCAAGCGTGGGGCGAGTTCTCTTCATCGTGATCCTCGCCTGTGTGATCGTCCGAAGTATCGTCCTTGCGTCCCATAATTCTGGGCCTTTCATCTAGTGTAGAATGGGCTGTAGGTACCGTGACAGGTGCGGATGGCAGATCGGATAGCACCGATCGGGGCGTAAGTTCGACATCTGAGGAATCTGGTCCTTCCAATGTCCTCGGGAAATTGGTCACAGGTACAGCCTGGTGTTGCCAATTGACGGCTGTCGTCGATCGGCTGCTAAGTTCTTTCCGATTGCTAAGGGAGTTTGCGCTGTATAGGGTTTCGACTCCCTCCGGAATAATAACGATCAAAGATGTCCCAACCAGAACTCCCATACCAAGGGAGGATATCAATCTCAGCTGAGAAGGAGAAAGTGTGAAGGCGAGCGGTAGTGATCCCACGACAAATGATCTATGTGACGCAGCGGGGAAAGGCAAATTAGCATTGACAGTTCGCACCAAGCAGGCGACAAGTTCGAAAGGGTAGTCGACTCACGTAATGGCCATCACAATGCTCAATGCGAGCAAAGTGAAGAGTCCCTCCATGGTCGGCCTCTTGTTCCAGAGCTTCGTCCGTGCTCTAGAAGGTTTCACTCATGTTGCCAATTCCAAGACCAAGATTCTCGATATACCCCTGATCCCGCGGCAGCGGTGATGGCGTCTAAATAGAAAAGCGGACAAGCGAGCTGGAAGACGAAAATAGGCCCGGAGAAGCAAGTGAGACAGGGGAGACGATGGAGAGCGGGCGGAAAGCAGGTGTTCCAAGGCGGTAGGAGGCAGAAGAACTGAAAACGTGGCGGAGGTGGACGGCCCTGATTATGGATTGATTGCGATTTGCCGCAGTGGGAAAGGCACGCCCCAGTCCGAGGCACGGGAGACCCACTGCCGCCCCAGGGATGGTTTATTATTATCTCTTCGGCTTCATCTTACATCTTCTACTTTCAATGTATGGAGTAAAAACATGAAACACATTGTGGAATTGCTCAATCCACCGCTTATATACATGTTGACGGCTCTCAAACATCGGTAAACAATTGAATCAGCCAGCCGTCTGGGAGTTTGCAGGCCGCAATATCCAAGCTTCTGCGGGCATCAGTTCCGGCAGGGCCATCAACATGTCTGTTCCCCTCATACTTCTGGTCCATCGCGGCTGTAACCCTTCATTTGGATATCTATGATATCTTTCAATCGTGCTTCCTTCATCTGGATTTGCTCCGCAGATACCGTTCCATAGGCTTCGTTCACTTGCGCAATGACCTTTTCCTTCCACTCTGTTTTTTCGTCGCCCTCCACGTTGATTCTCCCCTGCGCATCCCAACAAGTTTGCATAGTGCCACCAAGCTTGTCCAAGAAGGAACCTATGCCACCTTTTCCCCCGCCATACTGATAGCTCTCAAACACACCGTTTCCAGCCCATCTTGGTCCCAAACTAGCCATCAGTATCGTGTCCAGGTCCTTTGCATCTACGACATCTTCCTGAACCAGATAGCAAGCTTCCCGTAGTAGGGCGAAGGCTAATCGATTGCCCACAAACCCTGGAATCTCTTTTCAAATGACCACGGGCCTATGTCTCGACCCAGGTAGAGAGAAGTATTCACGAGCAAATTCCACCCGCTCAGCGGAAGTTTCTGGAGCCGGTACGATTTCGAGAAGAGGCATTATATTCGGTGGGTTGAAAGGATGCACAACAAGCAAGCGAGATTTGTCCTGCATCTTGGCTTGCTGAATAGAAGCAGCAATTCCAGAAGTGCTTGTCCAGAAATGCGCAGAAGACGGGGCTACTGCTTCGATCCCGGCCCATGTAGTTTGTTTCCAGTCAACATTTTCCGGTCCTTGCTCCTGGACAATGGTTGCCGACGCGCATGCGCTTTCTAGGGTCGAGTGAATTTGCAGACGGCCAGAAGAGACAAGAGACGCTACCAATGACGTTGATGGTTGAGATTCAGGACTTGACCTAGGGTCGGTATTTGTTGATGGCAGCTCGCTCATGTAGATCGGTAGCGTCTTATGGATATATTCCTCGAAATCCGGTCTGGTATCGAAGACATCAACTATGTTGCTCTCACGAGAGAGATGAAGCGCTGCCATGGATATGCCGATGGTTCCCAGACCGATCAAGGCTATCCGCTGTGAGCTGTACACTGACATGTTGATGGTGCCATAGATTTGAACGAGCTTATTGGCGCTGTGGAATTGCGTTTAGATGATTGTGTAGAGCCAATGGCATCAACTGGGCAAGTTGTATGATAGTCTGGGGTTTCTGTTAATCGCAGCAGCAGTGGCCCTCAATTGCGGGGTGCCAGACAAATCTTGCCCCGCCATTGTAGTTCTTAAGAACTACTACTACTACCACTACTACTAACAAATCAATGAGTCGTCTACTATTGGGTCGGGGACCTGGAGCCGAGGCACAGCACCTGATTTTCGGACCACCGATACTCTACATTTTATGGGGTACAGAGTATTGACTTCGTGCTCAAATGAAATCGTTTTCAAACAGTTCTTGAAGATTCATGTATGCGAGGTTAGTAGGTTAGTCTCTACATCGACGTCATATGTCATATGAGGTTGCCAGTTTGAAGGTACTCTGTCGCAACCATTCACAAAAGGCCGGCACAACTACTGTGCAGATGATTCTGATGGGGGAAATAGAGTGTCTCGACACATCCTTGGTAAGATTTTTGGAAAGTCAAAAATACATACAGAGCTCTTTCTTGTGTATCCTTTCTTCTACACACTATTTCCTGACTTACACACTGCGGAGGATTCCTACCGGCGCTAAACCGGAAACGGTTATAGCTAGCTAGCTCCGCGCAACGCGAGATTCGAAAGAGCAACACGCGCCATCTTCCAGGCAATCAATTAAAGCTCTTGCGCTCTCTCACTCAATCATCTCGAACCCAAGTCTCCACTATAGTAGCTGGCTATCTATTCGGCAACGGGCACAATGAGTGAAGGCGACTGTAATTATCACCCTTTCTGACTCCATTGTCCTGATATTCCATGTTGCGAGTCGGCTGACTGAATTGACCTCACTTAGGGACTTGCGACGCCAACGACGCCGTCCATCTGACGATCGTCCAACCCGGCGAGACGAAAGTCAAAACGATTTCCAGCTTTCACCCCCAGTTCACATATCCCATCTTCGGCGACGAGGAGCAAATATTCGGCTACAAGGGGTTGATCATCCGCTTGCGGTTTGCAGCCCATGACCTCCGCCCGAATATCAATATCTCTTACGATGAGAAGTTCAAGCCCGTTGGCGACATTGCCGCTGTCGACCTGCTGAAAACATTGAAACCCTGGGTTCCTGAAGGTTGGTCGCTATCTCTTTCAGATAGGAATAACATCTGTTCCCTCTTGGCTAACTCAGGCGCATGATTACAGAGGCCTTCGGTTTACTTCCCGACTATGAAAAGGCTGTCCAGGAGGACGAAGATGCAAAGGACTTTGTACCACCTGGCAAGCTTGTTCACAGCTATGTCACTCGAGACAGAAATTATGAAATCTGGGCCGGCTCTCTCGCTGATCCTCAAGTTCGACGACTACTGGACCGCGCGCAAATTTTTGTATCGCTGTTCATCGAAGCCGGTACACCTTTGGTCACGGATGATCCTGAATGGACACTTGAGAGATGGACAGTCTACTTTGTGTATGCTTCATCCCGTCCTATGTTTTCCTCTAGCTAACGAAGTTGAAGCTATGAGAAAGTGAAACCGCCCACGCCAACAGCCTCCCAGTATTCCATTGTCGGATATGCGACCACTTATCGCTGGTGGTTCTACCACCGAGACACTACACAGGGCCGCACAGTCGTGAACGATCCATTCCCAGCACCCGAGATTAGACCTGCTCAGCTGCCGGCTCGGCTGCGAATCGCTCAATTTTTGGTTCTGCCTCCTCACCAAGGCTCTGGACACGGGACTCATCTCTACACCACCATTCACGCCTCATGCTTCAAAGACCCAACAATCACCGAGTTGACTGTCGAAGACCCAAATGAGGCTTTTGATGCCCTCCGCGATACTGCAGACTACCACATCTTGTTGCCGGAGTTCCTCGGGCACAAGGTAGACATCAATCCGAACCCTTATGGAGAGCTCTCCAAGAGGCAGCGCCCTCGACGCGTCCCAACATCGGCACTGATCCCTACGAAGTTGTTACATGACATCCGTTCAAAATTCAAGATTGCCTCCACTCAATTTGCTCACATTATGGAGATGTATCTTCTGGGGCAAATACCTGCCAAGAATCGCCTAGCCGGGGGAGCCAACATGTCCCGACTACTAATCAAGAAGCACAATGCCGAGGATCCTAACGACCGCCGATACTACTGGTGGCGCATGCTCACTAAGCAGCGTCTCTACAAACGCCATCGGGATCTACTCATCCAACTGGACTCGAGCGAGCGCGTCGAGAAGCTGGAGGAGACCGTGACGAACGTCGAGGAGGGCTACGATGCTCTTCTCAAGGCCTTCAACGCCCGCGAGGAAGCACTGAAGGCCAAAGAAGAGGAGTCCGGTGTGCTTGCAACCCCAGAGTCGACCGCTGTCCTGGGCGAGGCAAGCAGCAGAGATCAGCGGGGAAAGCGAAAGCTTACAGTGGAAGATGAGGAAGATGAAGCCGAGAATGAAGAAGCAGCCAAGCGGACAAAGGTGTGAACGATGCGTCTAATGTTTCTTTATGCATACCATTCACCCACCATTTCATTGTAATATTAAACATTATGAAATACCAAAACCACCCTTTTGCCATGAGCTATAACCAAATCCTGAACTCCCATACTCCACGATTAGTATTATTACACATGAAGCCATAGTCCCTCATGAATGATAGCTGGGCGGCGGCGACCCCATACTATCCAGGGTGTCTATTGTCCCCGACAATGACTTACAATCCACACTCTTCAAGCTACTCGTCCCCGTTGACAAAGTAACCGTCGCCAACCCGACCGTCGACGACGCCTCCGTATCCGACTCCTCTCCACTTCCACCCTTCCCACTCACACCCACTTCCACATCATAACCACCCACTTCCTGATCCACTGCCACCTTAGCCCGCGGCGGTGCACTTTCCCTCACCAACTCTCCCACATACTCCAACGCCTGTCTGAAACCATGTATCTCCGCCTGCATAGTGACAGGAACAGGAGCATCCGCCCCAGCAAACACACCCTCATTCTCATCAATAGACAACCTTCCCATCTCCACATCCCTTTCCCGCACACCAACAGACCCCATCACAACCGCCCCATCATCATAGCTAAACCCCTGATCCTGACACTGATACTGATAGTAAGAAGTCTTCCCTTCCCACCATTGCTTCCATCGATGTCTCCTCGCAGCGGCTTTGTACGCCCTCCGAGCTTTCCGTTCCTCGCGCTGGGCAGCCCGGTCTACTCGGCATCGCTGGCAGCGCATCGTGTTACTGCCGATTCGGTATGCCAGGGCGAAGAGCGCAATGATGCAGATGAGGACGCTTAGGTTGATGAAGTAGTCACGGAAAGTAAGGGTCGAGAGCTTTTTCAGGAGGGAGGCAAGCCACTGGAATTTGAGGAGGGAGTGGATGTGGTCATTGTGATTGGGGTTGTCGTTGTTGGTGCTCTTCATGGTGTGGGTGTCTATAAGGTTGTTTAGAATGTGGAATATGGTAGATAGTAGTGAGTGGGGGACTAACTGGCTGCTGTTGAGATTGTAGTGGGTGATGATGATGGTAGTGGAATGGGTGCACCGGCTGCCAGGCGGGTGAAGTTGGTGGTGGTGAGACATATTAGTGTTAACTTTGTTAGTAGCCATTGCATGGTGGTGGTTGTGTGGGAGATGCTACATGGACGTAGGAAGGGAGACATGGGATGGAGGGTATTATAGGTTCATGTAGTTGGTGCAGTCAGGGTGGATTGTAGAGAGTGAGATAGTGGTTATGTAGTAATAGACCGGTGAACAGATACAAACGATGTTGTATTCAGAGCAAACTACCTAGGACAGAGAGTGAGAGTCATACGGGCTTTAGGACAGAGTTAAATGAATGGACATCCTTGGCCCTCGGGCCTCCTCTCCCAAGACCGGAGACAGACGGAGTTTACCAAAATACCCTGTCTCATTAATTAGTGAGTAATATAGCCAGACTAACCATAGTCACAACTCTAAGTAGGGCACGTTACTTCGCTCTTACTGGTGCCAGTCCAGATAAGCAGCAGCGCCGGGCGGATCTCGGCCCCATGTTTATCCGGCACTCTCCGTCGTTGTGAGCACCGCTGCTGGGAAGCTCGCGGGGAGCTTTCTTGGATTCATATTTACTCTGACGTCGTCAAGAAGGCTTTTATTTCTCTTTGAACTACTTCTTTCCGCTTGGGAGAATACGGCGACTCTATTAGCGTCTTTTCATCCTTTGCTTACCACCTCTGACGAAGTTGATTCCATCTGTGTTTCGATCCGCCCACAACGTCGATCCGACCATATTGATCACAAGATTGCAGGATGGTAATCACCTCTGAAGCCTACCAAAACTGATTATATCTGCTGCGGCTACTGACTTCCCATGAACAGTTACCTCTCGGTCTCCTGACGGCCGCGCAAGGCCACCCCATGCTCGTGGAACTCAAGAACGGCGAAACCCTCAACGGACACCTTGCCAATTGCGACAACTGGATGAACTTGATACTCAAGGAAGTTGTTCAGACAAGCCCCGAAGGTGATCGCTTCTTCCGGCTACCGGAGGTCTACGTCAGAGGAAACAATGTGAGTCGCTTGCCTGCGTTCACCCTGAATCGTATCCAATGCCACCCCTCTGTTCATCCCCCTAATCGCTTATAGATCAAATACCTGCGAATCCCCGAAGAGATCATAGAGATGGTGAAGGAGCAACAGGCGAACCAATCGCAAAATCGCAACCGCGGGCCGCGTGAGGGTGGTCGGGGTGACCGAGGTCGTGGTGGAGGCCGGGGTCGTGGACGCGGCCGCGGCCGTGGTGGCAGAGACGCTTGAAGTGTTATTGGTTTCTTATCTACGAAAGAATGAGAGAGATTATGAGCGATACCCCGGGGGGCAAGGTTTAGTAGGGAATGAGTTCGCTAGGAAATGTCCGTTTTGACGGGTTAGTCGAGCATGGCCTTGGCGTATCTGGTTGTATTTGTCAATGGGAAAACATGCCACCTAGGCGTTCTTTTTTGCTTCCAATATATTGTAGTGTACAAATTATTCGAAAAGTCTGAATTCGTTCAGCCTTGTCCGTGGCCTTCGTCTCTGTAACTTTGCATGCATAGCGTCACGGTCACGTGCAGATATAGAGCTACTTTCGGAGACCGACCAAATTGTAGAGAATCTTCCGTCATTGCAAGGGCTCGAGATGCCGCGAACGACCCTGGTACTCGATGGACTGTGGTATTGTCTTTGTCCGTCGTTTAATGCTGCGACCTTCAATCGAGCTACACCTTCCTTTACAGCAGGGAGACGCATACCTAAACATAATCGCATAACCGCTCTACGAAGCTCAATCTCGGATCCTCCGCGAAGATGCCTCACCAACCTTACCCCACGACCGACTGACGCAACCATTGAAATCGTCGAAGACAATAGCCACAATACTACGAATTGTTCATCACCCTCCGATCAACAAGCCTTCGATCCTGACGATGCAGGCGCGCAGGACAATGTACGCCCAGGAGACCTTTTATCGCCAATGGAGCGATTGACCAAGCCGCCACCGGGCGTACCCAAATATTTCAAACACCTACCTTCGCAACGTCTAGAGAATAGACTACAGGAGCGAGTAGCTCGATATCCAAGAGTACTGAGCGCCACGCAAATCCTGCGTGTTCTAATCCGAGACCGCCATGTCCGCCCGGAGATGCGACATTACCGGGGGCTGATTCTCGCCAATTCGGATCCCGAACGTGGGTCGCCACAGGCTGTTCGCGCATTGCTAAAGGAGATGGAAGAGAATGGGATACCGGCTGATTCGGGGACACTTCATGCAGCGCTACAGGTATGATCTTCGAGTCTGGGAACGAGGCACTTGCTGACGTGCTCGCTTTTACTCTTAGGTCCTTGCGGTTCATCCGGATTACCTCCTACGTCAGGAGATTGTGCGCACGCTTCGAGACCGATGGCTTCCGCTGAGCCCCGCCGGATGGCACTTTGTGGTCGCTGGGTTGATTCGGGAGCACCAGTTCGAGCTGGCGTTGGATCATGTCGAGCAGATGGAGAGGAAGGGTATGGTGGTTGAGAATTGGCTGCATAGCCTACTTATATATTACCTTTGCGATTTCGGAGAGTTCGACGAGGTGGTCCGGCTGATGCGCTCACGGACGAGCCAGGGCTTGGACATGAGCTCGGAGTTGTGGTTGTACGTGCTGGAGGTGGCGAGCGCTGCTCTGCACTACGATACTACACGGTATATCTGGAGACAGATGGTGGAGCTGAGATATCTTCATCCTGGTTATCCGCTGTGCAGCAATGTTCTCAGTGTGGCGGCGCGCGCTGGAGATACCGAGCTGGCGGCATCGGTGATCCGCTTCCTCGTCGAGGTCAATGTGCAGCCTCAGTTGGATGACTACGAGAAAATGGTAGAGGCCCATGCTGTGTCGGGGTCTTTGTATTCTGCATTTGAGGTGCTGTGTAAGATGCATATGGCGGACATTGCGGTAGAGCACCGCTCCACGCGTGCCATTCTTACGCATCTGCTGCAGAGTAGGACGACCCCACGTGGTGCATGGACGATGCTCAAGCAATTGAAAGCGACCAAACTGACAGTGCCGCTTGGCTGCGCCAAAGTGGTGTTGGAGATGTGCGAGCACGAAGCCCTCGATAATCCGCCGGTGGTGTACGAGGGAATCGCGTTTTACAAAGAATTATATGCGCTCTGTCCAGACAAGGCCGACGTTACCGTCTACAACATTCTCCTCGGCATGTGTCGACGGGCGCGCAATACCGAGGCGGGCATGTTCATCGCGAAAGAGATGGCATCGCTCGGCGTGATCCCGGACCAAGGAACATTTGAGCATCTCATCGTCATGTGTCTGGAAGCAGGCAATTTCGAGTCCGGGTACATGTACCTGCAAGATCTGCTGGGACGGGGGATCCGCCCCGGCGAGGAGACACGAGCTGCCATCCGGGAGCTCTGTTCTCCATCAGAAGACCCATTCGCGTCGCGCCTCAGGCATCATCCGCAGATCCAGGATGGGTCAGTGGGATGTCTGGTGGACGAGATCAGTAATACTCACGAGCCGCCCGATTCGACGGAGCAGCAGGAGGAGGAGGAGGGGAACGGGAAGGAGGAGTCGTTTCATCGCTCGGGACAGACACCGACCCAGGCAGAGATGGAACGGCAGGCGTTGCATAAACTCCGACGGGCCGCAGCCAAGGAGAGACGCAAGCGAAAGAGACGACTAGCAGCTATCGCACAGGGGCAAGAAGAGGAAGGCTGGTTGGACTATGAGCCAGGGGGGCTTGTTCCTGAGGACCAGCTCGATGCGAAGAGTAACAATTGAACTGGGGATAGAGGGATGGGCAGCTGGAAAGGGGGGAGTGTATCTTCCCTTTGTGTATACTACTACTGTATCTAGTGTAGATTCTTGGCCCCTGTGCCAACAACCTAAGCGATGTATCTAATTTCACAAGACACAAGCTGACAGGCATCAATTGTGCTGTCAGGAGAAATACTTGTCCGTGATTACTTGCCAGACTGATGCCCGTGCCACTATGTAATTATTAAATCACCACAAACGTGCACTCTTTTTACCCGGAACATTCGGAGAAAAAGGTAATGGGGGTGGGTGGGGGGAACAAGCAGCAGCCGAGGCCAGGAAGGATTCAAGCCACAGGAACCATCATGCAGCCAGCAGAGTCGGGGGGTAAGAATCAACCCGCAAAACTTAGATACTGCGTACTAAGATACTTACCCCTGCTCTATGTATAGTTAGTTTAGCTTTTTAGTTCTTGGTTAGTGTGGACTAGGAACCCTCATCTGCGACACGCGGGCGCAACATAATGGAACCATGCCAGGAACCTCAAACCGCCGTTAGAATTCAATGCCCGGATTTTCAGCCCTGACCAGCGGTTTGAACTGGAGAGAAAACCCGGCATGGCTGTTATTTGTCCCACTTGTCGGAGAAATTTGAGGTTTAGTTTGTTTTGTGTGGGATATCGCCGAGGGAAGGTTCAGGTTACTCCTGAACTAGATTAACTGTTGGTTCCTGGTTGTTTGCTGTTGTACTGTGGGAGCCTGGGAGGGTTTCTATTCTTATCCGGGCTGCATGAGATTGGGATCGACTTGCATGGACCCTAGGAACTAACAGTACAGTAGTTTGGGATGTAAGGGAATGGGATGTATGCATGAGTTGTCAATTGATTCTTATCGTAGAAGTGCTTTTTGATCATCGGCCAGCACAGACAGCTTTTCTTTTCTGATCTTCCTCGTGTAACCATGCAAATCCACGGCAAACCTAGTTAAACTCTTCATAACCTTTCAGGTCAAAGGGATAATCATCTGGAGAACAAGAGACACACCAACACACACCGATCCTTTTTTAGTTCAAGGGATCGTCGCAGTTGGGCCAATGCTGGTTCGTTTCACCCGCAGCTCCACTTCTTCTTCCTCTCTCCCACTCCTCTCTCTCTCTCTCTTACTCTCTGTTGGGGTCGAAATTAGAAGCAGTTCGGAGTTGCGCTTGTTTCTGGTTCCCCTCGCCACCTGCACATCATCCCCGGCTTATTATAACTATTCGCCTCTGTCCTTCCCTGTTTCTCACTACGATCTACTATCTATCTACTTTTACTTTCCTCCATTTTATACAAAAGTATTGTATCCTTCATATCACCTATTGATAATACTTAATTTCCTCCCTCTTATCTACTATTTCAATTACCAACTACCGTTTCACCTCTCAACGGTAGACATACATACACATCCTCTATTCGCCACTCGGATACTATACATCAAAACTCATTATCACAGTCACCACACAACCAAAGGAAATATACTCTATCAAGATGCAACTCCTCAACTACCTCCCCGTTGCTCTCACCACCCTCGGCCTCACAGCCTCGGCTTCTCCTCTCCGTCGTGCCGACAGCCCAGCCCTAACCTGGCACGTCTCCAACTTCACCACCGGCTGCTCCCCGGCCGCCTGCACCTACAGCTTCAACATCTACGGCGTCGCCACGGCCAACACCCCCGGCTTCAACGCCACCTGCACTGGCAACTCCAACAACACTGCCCTGACTGCTTGTGGTGGCAACCCCCAGGTCCAGTCCCGCATCCAACCCGCTACCTACCCGGAATGGAACATCCGAGTCGAGCATGCCTGGACTCTGCCTGGCGACATGGAATTCTATGCTTATGGAGAGACCAATGTTACCTCGCCGACACCGAAGTTTACCATTCCTGTCACGGAGGAATATGGTGTTGCTTAAATGCGCCTATAGTGGAATTGGTGGAGAAGGGGGTTGGAAGTAAATAAATGACTTGAGGTCATGGAATGGGGTTACTACAGTATAGATGATGAAGGGCGGAATGAGGGCAAAATACTGGAAATATTTGCGTTTTAGTTTATGTATCATATTGATATGGATTTGATGGGCTGGTTCTTGATGACTTGTTTACAGTTTGGTTTTCGTTGGGTTTATGATGAATAGGGTTGAGGATCTATAATGTCTGGTTACAGGATGGTCTGGTCATGATGATTGATTGATCTGGGATATGATATCAATTAGTATAGTCGGAATCTACAAATATACAAATATACCAACACCAACATACATCACAAGTTGATGTTCCTTGATCCAAAATAATACTTAGTTGTAGTCTGGGAGATGAAATGATGGGGTTGGAATGTGTCCCGGTGACATCATCCCGACCCTTGCAATCAATGGCTTCTTCAATGTTTTCCCCCGACAAGCTTGATGAAGCAGCTGCACTGCCTCTCTCCCCTGTCAATCACTCCGTGCTTGGCCTATCTCATCCCATGACAATTACATGGAATATATAACCTTGCTCAGGTTTCTCCAGTCTATCTGGACCATCCATTTTCCAAGAGAATCGCCAGGTTGACCCGTGCGTCATTCGCCTGGCCACCCTGTCTCCGCCACGATCCCCTCACGATTCAGGTCTGTCTTTCTCCCCCTTGCATGTTCCTGAATATCCACTTATCACAGTTCGAGTAGAAATTCCACGTCGCTTGATCTTATGGTAAGCACTACTATTCTTCAACCACTTCCTATCCTCATCAGTAGCTGACCATGAAATGACTCGAGCTACGTAGGCGTCGATCCTCCGGCAAATTGTTGCCGGCCCCCGGTTACAACATCCTGAAGCTGGTCTAGACTTGTGCTATGTGACCGATAACAGTAAGCCATCATTCCTATCATTCTTCTCAACTACTACTAACTCATTACCTCCTGCTGTGCGCCTACAGTCATCGCAACCTCCGGTCCCTCCTCCAACTACCCGCAGCGCGCCTACAGAAACCCCCTAGACGAGCTCGTCAAGTTCCTCGACTCGAAACATGACTCCGACTGGTGTATCTGGGAGTTTCGCGCTGAAGGCACCGGCTATCCCGACTCAGAGGTCTATAATCGCATCCATCATTACCCATGGCCCGATCACCATCCGCCCCCGTTTGCGCTCATTCCCGCCATGACGGGCAGTATGCGCAATTGGATTCATCGGCTCGATGAGCCTGACACAAAAGACGAGAAGGCTAAGAAGAAAGACAGAGTTGCTGTCGTTCATTGCAAGGCCGGGAAAGGCCGTAGTGGCACTGTGGCCTGCAGCTACCTGATTAGCCAGGAAGGGTGGAAGGCAGACGACGCGCTGCAGCGATTTACCGAGCGGCGAATGCGAGTCGGGTTCGGGGCTGGGGTGAGTATTCCCAGTCAGCTGCGGTGGGTGGGTTATGTGGATCAATGGACGAACCAGATGGGGAAGAAGTATATCGAACGGCCGGTGGAGATCCTCGAGGTGCATGTGTGGGGGCTGAGAGATGGAGTCAAGGTCGCGGTGGAGGGGTTTCAGGACCAGGGGAAGAAGATCAAGAAATATCATCTCTTCCATCGGAGTGAACGCACGGTAGTCGATGATGGGAAATCGAAGACGATGCCCTTAGACCCAGTCCCCAACGGACATACCGATGAAAACCACAAGAAACAACCCCAATCCGCTGCGACCTTTCCATCCGGCACAGAAGACAGCCCTCACCCATCCACCGATTCCCCCGGCAGAACAGACACTCCCCCGAAACACCTCTCCGCCATCGTCTTCCGTCCCAAGTCCCCCATCAGCATCCCCACCTCCGACGTGAACATCGACTTCGAACGACGCAGCAAGGCCGCCTACACCGGCTGGGCCATGGTAACGTCCATCGCGCACGTCTGGTTCAACGCCTACTTCGAAGGCGGCGACCAACACGACTCCGGCATCTTTGAAGCCGAATGGGAAGCCCTCGACGGCATCAAAGGCACAACACGCAAGGGCGTGAAAGCATTAGACCGACTGAAAGTCGTCTGGCGATACGCCAACCAGCCAGGCACTTCCCACCCCGACACAGGAAGACCCATCTCTGAGCCCAAGCCCGGGGAACCAATCCCAGAAACTCAGCCACCGGACTGGCACATCCACGGCACTGGCTCCAACTCTGGTGCTGACACCCCACAAGACCAGGACGACGAAAACACACCGCCGCCTCCCCCATCTAAGGAGCTAGAAGCCGACAAAACATCCGAATCAGAACAAGACAGCAGCTCAACCAAACATAAACACAAAGACAAACATACTACTAACAAGCACGACCACGACCACGACCACCCCCTCCTCTCAGACCTCAGCACCGCAGCCGCAACCGCCGTGTCTTCAATACCAGGGCTCGGCAAGCAGCTGGGTCTGCGCAAGCAAACCGACGAAAGCAAAGACGTGAGTCTTGCGGGCAGTAGCGAGGACGAGTCGGGGAGAAGTTCTGCTGCGCCTTTGCAGGCGAAGAAAGATACGAAGAAAGAGTGGTCGTCTGTTGATGAGGGTAACTAGCACAATTAATCTCCTCGGGGAGATTGGTTCAAGGTATATGAAGCGATCCTCGGATCTGTATTCACTGTTATATGTATAAGAGGGAGATTTGACTGGATTGGGCCGGTCTGAGATAGGAGGTTTTGTATATACTACTTAGTACACGCACGATACAGGTATACGAATACGAATGTACTGACAGCGAATGACCGACCACCTTCTAATGATATGATATCTTCCTCCAAAAGGGGTGCGCGTATCTGCATGCTTAATATACAATGTGTGCAGTTAAATAAGAAGCAGTTAAATAAGAACAACTAGGAATTGTACTTTCTACGGAGAACTTAGTAATGTAGGGAGCATATAACCATACATATCAAAGTTATCATATCATATCACACCATACTAGCATATCTAAAAGTAGGTTATCTACACACACAATGCCTTGCTTTGAACTTGCTAGTAGTAAAAGAGTGAAACAGGAAAGAAGACCCCGCAAATCTCATTTCAACTCCAAATCTCCGCAATACAAACACACATACAACTCCACAGAATATGCCAATATGCAAATATGTCACAACAGCTGATTCAATCCTACAGCGGCACAAACCCCTCCATGCGCTGCCTCGATTCCCGTTCCTCACGCTGTAACCGATCATTCTTCTTCCGCTCGTATACGG